GAAGGACCCCGCGCCGCTTTATGATTGGCTGCGGAAAGATCCAACTTCCTTTTCTCGCTCGCTGGCAAGGAGGCCGCTGTGAAGATGGTGAGTGTCTGGTGGGGACGTGGGGGTAATCCGCCCTGTACTGCTGCCATCCTGTCCCCGAGGGGGTCTCCAGCTGTTGGGCACTGCCGGGCTGGTCTCCCTATAGCGGGTTGCGGGGGTATGGTTAAAACTCAAGTGGGGACTTGATCCCCTGCTTTGAGCCGGGACTCCCGCGGCCTGGCTGCGGCGCGCTGGGGCCGGTCGGCAGTGGCGGAGGGTGGGCCGGGGCACGATTGATCTGCTGCGTGTTCATGCTGCTGATCGGTAAGAGTAGTCCTAGCCTTTGATAACAGCGTAGTACTGTGTTTCAGTGTTAAAAGTACTCGTATATTTATATGTACTCATCGTACTCGAGTTAGTTTATGTTTGTTCTTGTGTGAGAGCATTAACGAAACAGTAACTTTACAAGTGTTTTAGATAATTCCTGCATTAATAGTAGCATGTAGGTTTGTTAAGGAAAGTTCTGTATGGTATTGCATTGCTTGGGCTTGTAATCTATGTTTCATTAACAGCTGCTTCAGATTTTCAGCATGGTATAGGTATGTGCGTTGCTGTGTTGCTTGGAAGCTGGGGGTGAGTTGGTCAGGCTTTCAGTGTTACTTATAGCTGGTTTTGGTAGTCCAGGATTAGTCCATTTTTGGTGGTTATTTTACAGTCAATATCTATTCTGAGAGACTATTGGCTGTTGCGCTACCTCTTTACTAAGTTTTAATTGCATGTGTGACTATGGTTTTGTTTTGCTTTATCATCTCTTGCAGAATGACACAGTGACCATCAGAACCAGGAAGTTCATGACAAACAGGCTTCTTCAGCGCAAGCAGATGGTAAAAGAATACAGAAATTTGTCTTTAATTATATGTCTGTTGATTTTGGGCTGCAGGTGGGTTTTAGCCATTGTAAGTAAGAGGCCCTTAAAACCTCCAGAGTGCTTGTGTGGGTTTAAATATGTTGGGAAGTCTTGATGATGATCTAGAGAGCTGTATTTGAAGTTGTGCCAGGGAAGGTGTAAACTTGATATTAGGAAAAATTTCATGACCAAAAGGGTCATCAAGAATTGGAACAGGCTGCCCAGGGAAGTGGTGAGGTCACCATCCCTGGAGGTATTTAGAATACATGTAGATATGGCACTTAAGGACATGGTTTAGCAGTGGACTTGGCAGTGGCTGACTGGATGTTCTTAAAGGCATTTTCCGGTTTAAATTATTGTATGAAATGGAAATCTTAAGAACGCTTTTGTATCAAACTAATAATACTTCCTTCTCCTGAAGTAGGGTAGCTTAAGTGTTAAGCTTGTGGTGGGACTGTAACATGTGGCTATTGTACTGGATACTGATCTTTTATACAACTTGTAAAACTTTCGTCTTAGGTGATTGATGTTCTTCATCCTGGGAAGGCCACAGTCCCCAAAACAGAAATCAGGGAAAAGCTGGCAAAAATGTACAAGACAACCCCTGATGTCATTTTCGTCTTCGGCTTCAGAACTCACTTTGGTGGTGGCAAGACAACCGGCTTTGGCATGATCTATGATTCCCTTGACTATGCAAAGAAAAATGAACCAAAGCACAGGCTTGCAAGGGTAGGTTCTTTTCCGGTAACTTGAAAACAGTCAGGATAGATTTGAAGTGTTTAGTCATTCATGATGTACAGATGTAAAAGCTGAAGTTTTGTGAAAATACTGTTGGTGCATTTGGAGTTACGTAAGAGCTCTTAAAGTAGCATAGGTTAGCTACTGCATTTGCAAAATATGGTAAGTTTTCTTTATTGTATATTACAGGGGAAGTGGGAATGCAAACCTGATATTACCAGTGATGTTTAGCAGTAATAAATAACTTGACGATTATTAAGGGTCTTGAAGAAGGATGAGAGATAGGGCTGATCCATATGCTACTTTAGTGCTTATATTCTGTATTGAGTTACTCATTAATTTAGTGAATTTGTTACACTATTTAAATGAAATTTCAAATTTAAAAAGTATTTGAAGAGTCCAGAAGTGGAACTTAAATTTAGTTAGTATCAGTGAAGCAATGTTAAATGCAACTTTTAACTGTTCCTTAATAGCATGGTTTGTATGAAAAGAAGAAGACTTCCAGGAAGCAGCGAAAGGAGCGTAAGAACAGAATGAAGAAAGTGAGGGGCACAGCCAAGGCAAATGTTGGTGCTGGCAAGAAGGTAGGATGAGAATATCTGTAAGCTAGAGTGGGTGTGTTGCCTTTGAAACGTTGATCAGAAATTCTTCAATGCATTAACGTTGTTTTTCTTCCATTTCTTTTACCTGTTGTACTGGATAACAGAAGGTAATCTGTGTGGTGTTGTATAGCTTATCAGCTCAGTAGCTTAGTTTCGCTCCTCACTGCTGCAAGCCTAGCTGATATAACATGAAACAGTGCTTTTTAAGTGATTTTCTTATGTGTCACTTGAACTAAAGTTAAACTTTCATAAATCTAACAGTATTGCTCTAATCACATAACTTAGTCTTGCGATATACAAATTAGATAATCTTAACAGTTGTTATTCAGACTACCTAGATATCTAATACTTATTCCACCAAGTTACTCCACTGCAAGTTACTCTAATGCTTGTTCCATCACTGCTGTTTCTGGTGTTACTTATAGAGGAGATTTTGTTTAAGGATGTGTGGTGATGTAGGCAGTAAGGACAGTGTACAGACAGAAAAAGGTAGAAAGCCACCTTTATCCTGGGTTTAAGTGACTGATTCCAAAGATAGTGGAGTAGCTCAAAGGGTGGATAGCTCTGGTGGGAGCTTCCTGTGCTGTTCATGCTGTGTTATTACTCGTGTTAATACGAGTAGCTTGAAGGGAAGCAGAGTTCCTCTATTGTTAAACAAAAAACCCACCCAGACTAGCCTGGATGTGAAGACGGTCATCTTCTTCAGCACCTCTTGTTGTCTGAAAAATACTGAGTAAGCTGTGCAGCTAAGTGTGTTTTTTAGTGTTTTAATGAGGGGAGAGAGAGTGATGGGTTTTGATGCTTAGTTCTGTAGCTGCTAAAAAGTGCCTTGACATCTTGAACTTTCGTAATCCTCATCTTTGCTTTTTCTCTACTTTCTTGGAATTCTCCATCAGAAGTGAAGTATCTAGCAGGTACTGAAAATGAGCATGGATGTGGTGACTGAATTATACATCACCGAAATGTGTGTCCATCCTTTTGACTGAAGCACTGTACTGCCTTGCATACATGCATGTTTGCTTTAAACTTGCTTCTGTTCTGTAAGGGTTCAGATAACTACATATGAAATTTATTCTTACATATGAACTTATTATATAAGCCAGATAAAATTTGGCTTATAGTGAACAAGAGTTTCTGAAACTAGTGAAACAACATTAAAATAAGGAATTCTCAGTGAGAAGAAATCCAGGAAACTCAAAGCTACCAATATGAGGCATTGGTTCAGAATGCCCCAGGTTCTGATTCAAAGTAGTACAGTGCAGTTGCATGTGTAATTTGACCTTTGTGTGAAAGTAGATGTGCATTGTTATGAGAACTAATTCACATCACAGTTTAGTGCTTTTGCGATGGTGATGGGAAACAACACAATTGTCAGCATTAAATTTATTTAACTATTGGCCTGCAGTATTCCAAGTTAAGACAAATCACAGTGAAATTGGAAGTCTCTGAAATTGGATTCTTAAGATCTAAGTGAAATTCTTGCCATCACTGAATGGAAATAAACCAGTGCAAACTACTAGATGAGAGAACTTCTATGCTAGATAAGATCTGGAGACTTTTTCCTTTCTACTTTAATACTGTTTTAAAGTTATACAACTGTTTACAGTATAACAGCACAAATTAGCACTTAGTGTAGTAGTAACACTAATACACACCCTCTTGTTAATGTCAAGGGAGTCATTTAGTCTTGCACTGATACTGCTGGTATGGAGCAACTTCCTCACTTTGAGACTTTTGGCACTTGAGGGTAGCTGTTCTTGAGTGTTAAAGCAAAATGGTTAAATGACTGTCCTTGAATTACTGAAGCCAATCCAGTTCATAGAAATTCTCTTAAAGCATATAAACACTTCAGAAATTTAAGATCAGGAATTATAGAGCAGATGCGGCTTCTGTATCAAGTGCTTCTGAAACTAGCATGCAATCTCAGTAAGTGAGCTGTGTTTTTGGTTAGAGGCTTTTTTAATATCTTTTAAAATGATCTTTTAGTTGATAAGCATGCATGGCTTAGACCTTGTTTATAATTTTTGATAGTCTTTGTGTCCTCACATCAAAGATAATTTATGTGCTTTCTGGAAGGCTTGGTTGAGAGGAGTTCTGTGCTGCATTACAGAAAAAGCTTGTGCAATACACTTGCATGTTAAAGCTTTGTCTGGGAAAAATGCATGTTTAAACAAAATGGTGTGACCTCCTTTATCACAGCCAAGTGGAGGAATTTTTAATAGGAGTCCTGGAGTATGTTTTGGAGTCCATCTGTACAATCTGAAAACAGTTTATCTCAGAAATGTGTAGGCATTTGATTCTGAGACATCTTCAGGCAAGTCTATGTTCTTGTAAGAGTTCAGTACCACACAGACATGAAAACTATTGAAATGGTGAATTGTACTTTAATAGTTTTTCTTGAACTTCTAAGTCAGACATCAACTGTGTTGATGTCTGACTGTTAAAGGTTTTCCTTGGTGTCTCCTGCTTCAGAATTCCCATTGTGTTTTCCCTGCTGTTTCAAGTGAAGTATTTTCAAGTAGTACTTAATGTATTCTGTATCTTTAGTTTTCTGAACTCTCCTAAGTTTGCAACAAGTAAATGTGAATGTTCCTGCTGTAGTGTTTGCATTCAGAGCAGTGACCCATATACCCAGGAATATAGAAATGCAAAAAAAACCCCAAAGCCTTCCCTGCCTTTTATTGTCTCTACTGTAGTAATGACTGCCTTTGACATGAGAGCCTCCCAATCAGAAATGGTTTTAAAAAAACCCAACTTGATCAAACAGAAGTGTGGATGGATAGGCATTTTGAGCCATTGCAGCCTGTAGGTATATTGAACATGCAGTTGCATGCTGAGCATTATTTAATTCCGAAACACTATTGTTAGGTCCTATCTTGAGTTTGAGGGAGTGTGTGAAATCTAAGTTGTCAGCCTCTACAGTAGTTAAAACTTTTTCTATCACATTTCACTGTAATAATTGAAAAAAGCCTGTTGTTAGTGTCCATAAAAAGCCTCAAAGTTCCATCTTCTACAGTAGTAGAATTTAGATTAAACTAGTCTCTAATTAATGTTTTTTCTTTTTCAGTAAATGAACATACTTCAGATGGAAAATGGATAACAGGTATGACTTTAGAATGCTTTGTAAGGGTAGACATTGAGTAGTCTGTAGTCATTACAATGACATAGGTCTAATTGATTTCTGCAAAGAATATGGTACTTGTGCTGGTGGAGACCAGCGTAAGAGTTTAAGACTAAGAAAGACTTAAGTATTTACAAATCAATGTTGTGCTTACTACAGAATTGATATTTTATGTGGCTTTGACTTACATGAAATAACTGATTAGTATAAAGACTGGAATAATAAATCAGGCAGTTCAGATTTACTGTCGATAAAACTATTGAATATTTAGTTTTATTGTAAACAAGGTTTACGTTTTCTTCTTGTAGGTATGCTAAGAAAAAGATAGTACACCTTGGTTTTTATTATCTCAAATAGGTTGAAGTAGTATGATTTCTCTTTTGAGGACAAATTTCTTATAGATACTTCAAATAAATTCCCTGTTAAAAAAAACATACTTGTAGACAAGTCCTAGACTATATTTTTGTATCTGTGCTACAGAAGCATAAGTGAGTTGGACATGTTGTGGGCAGTAATTGTTACAGACAAAACTCTGGGTTTACTACAAATGGTCTGAATGACTCAGTTTAAATCAACTTAAACAGTCTGTCTGGGAGCTGATAAAGTGAGTATAGTGTCTCACCATAAAGTTGTCAAAGTAATTGCAGCTTGTTGAGCTCTTCTACAGAAATGCTGTAATACAGGCTCTCATTTATTCTCACAGCAGTACTGTGAAATTTTTGAACCCTGTGTTCTTTTAAGAAAGGCGGTGTGGTTCACTTGACGTGTTTGAGAGCCAGGTTTTATAAAGGTATGAGTGAAACAGTTGTTTTAATTATGTGGCACTGATCTATCTTTTTCCTTACAGACTACATTATTCTGTGAAGAATTACTCTGGAATCTGTTCATCTGGCTTTAACATCAAATAAACTATGTCAATACAATGCTGGTTTACTCTTTAATTTTGATTTGGAAGCTACCATTTTGTAAAGTTTGAGAAATTCAAGATTGGTGCACTGCTGGCACTACATTAAAATCTTTTCATAATTAAATGACTCCTGTTTTGGGTGTCAATTTGAAGTGAATCGGAGCTTTCTGCAGGTAGTAGTATAACCTAATTCTAAGCAGGTGGTGTTAGTTCATGGAGGTAGGTATATTTTTGTCATCTGGTGTTCAGACTGTGGTTTGGAAGGTCCTCTTAAGGCGTGCTTGTTTCACTACCTGTATTATATAGACCTGTAAAAGGTAGCTGAAGGGAGAGCAAAAAATGTAGGCAGATGTTCAGAGCTGCCTACTTCCACAGTTAAGATTTTTGCTAATGAAGGAGTCAGTCAGTCATGTCTCTTGTCGTGTGTCGTCAGGGCAGGCTCTGGGGTCTGTCTCTGGTCTGCAAACTGCAGTACACATTTGATTTTTCATCTGGTAGTGTTAAAGAAGTCATTAAGATTGGAATAGTGGCTGGGTGAGGCATTCTGGTGCAGGTGTTTGGGTAGCAAGCAAAATAGAAGTTTTATACCTGGACTGAAACAGACTGGGTGGCTCTGACAGCTGAACTGATGGAGGCTCTGACTTGATTATTATCTAAGTACTGTATTTACCTTTGTACTAAAGTAGCATATTGTAATACAAGTAGGGCATTTTTAGTGTTTTGGGCAAAACCAAAAAGCCCTGAGGAGTTAAAGTGGTTGGAAGGGGACTACAGCCTGAGTTGTTCAAGAGTCAGTGAGGTTGCTGTATTCTGTGTTCAACATCATCACACTTTTATCTGTAGGTAAAAGTACCACAGTAACTTGTGCTGTGGTGTTTCTGCCTTCGTTGAAGTTAGTAACAGGGATCAGTAGGCAGTTGCTCTGGTGAAAGGGTGGGTGCTTCAGTTTCTTTTAAGCATAGGTGACCTAGTGTTAGACTAAGGGGATGGTGAAAAGCAGTTATTTCTTCTAAAATAATAGATTCTGAAGTCCTGTGGAAGTTAAAAGGCTTTTTTACTTGGCAGACAGACCTTCAAAAATAGGTACTTCTTGGATGTTCTTTCCAAAGCTTTTAAGTATATTAAATTCTGAAGAATTGCTAGAAGGGTGTTAAGAGTGGGATTTGTGTGCTTAGATACAGGATGTGCACTGAACTCTTGAGTCATGTGTAGATGTGTTTGGAGTAGGTGTCAGTAAATTTCTGAAAACTGAGAAGATAGTAAGGGATGTGTAACAAATGTAATGCATGTAAGGTGTAGAGTTAGAAACTGGATCTGCTTTAAAGGTAATACCTTCAGTAAACCCTTTCTGTACATAATGTTCAACATCAAAGGAGAGGAGTCATGCTATTAAATGTAATTGAACAATCACTAGGGGGTGATGTGAACACAGCAATACAAATAGAAGTAGGACTTGGATAGCATTTTTTTTTTCATAAAATAAGCTGAAAGAAAGCCAAATTGGCCTCTGCCAAAGAGGTCAACTCCTTTGAAAATACGCATCAAAAATAGCTGTGTTTAGGATCTGAGGCTTTAAATGGTATTTTTGTTTTTCTGGTTCTTTTTTGAATTTAATGGAAACCATCTGTTTCAGTGAAGACCATACAGTTAGTGTTTTCCGAATGTTTGCTACTTTAAAGCTTTAGAGTGCTGGCACAAATTCTAGTTGCTCTTTTCAGAAGCCTCTTCACCTAGTTATAAGCAATCAACAAGGGACCTATAAATAACTGCTGGCATAAAGGTATATGTCTTGCACAGTCTTGATGTTTCAGCTTAGTAAAGGGTATTGTCGCAGGGGGCATGTACCTCTTCAAGCAGAACTTCGTTCTGGAGTTGCAGTATTAAAGGTTGCTTTCTTCAGTTCTGTGATGTTTTGCATGCTATTCATTACAGGCTCATTTATGAGGTACAGGAACTTTTTGAAGCAGATGGAATGAAATAGGCTGTCTTAATTGCTTGGTGCTGGGTTTAGGTATTTGATGCCCTGTTTTCGTGATTCGACAGCAAAAAATACCTAGTGATTCCACAGAACAATTGACTTGTTTATTGATGCATGGTTCAGCTATAACCATGTATCCATAAGCTATACTCTTGTCTTGCGGTGTGAGGCATTAAACACAAAAACCAGGGAGGGGGGCAAAATGATGTTAAGTGATCTAGAATTAACTGATAAAATCGCATCACCTGATCCTGAGTTCTTCCACTATTCTGCACTATTGTCTATTTATGTGGCTATTTTATCCTATAATTCCATCTGGAAAATGGCAAGCAACTGAGTAGTTGTCATCTGAAATCTTGGTGCTTCAACAGTCTGGAGATATAAACAGCTCTCTCTGAATTTCTGTTCTGTCAACATTTTGCCTTCATACACTACAGACTTAAGCAATGTGTAGCAGGTGTTCTGTAATTCACAAGTTTAATGCACATGTCATACTGTGAAGACTAGGTTAATCCTCTTTCCTGTGGGAGCTAAACTAATCAAGTGGAAAGCATTGATTAACAGGAATCCTCACTTTTTTCCCTACTGTGTGTTGAAGGTACCCTTTTTATTTCCT